GGTGGGGGTTGGAGCCTGGGGACCGACTACATTGCTGCTTGGCTGTGCCAGCAAGTCTAAGTTAAACCTTTGATAGATCAAGTGCCTTCAGTTGTTATTTTTTGAGACACGAGCAACATGAACAATTTCTATAATGCAGCAACAAGCATTAGGCTGCGTTCATTTATGTCAGCCACACTTTCCTCTATCCATGTTCAATAATCAAAATTGTATTTTTGTTTAATAACATAAGGGGATTTAGGGATTTCTGTTCATTTTTTTAAAACCCTAGTTTCTTTGTATCTCAGTCTTATCCAAGCCTAATTCATGATTCATTCTTTGTTTTATCTTTTTAGTATTCTTTTATTTTTAGGTTACTACATATGTATGATAGCTTAGATCAAATGGCATTTTGCTTGTTTTTATCTTCTTTCATAGATGAATTAATACATTTTAACAGGGTCGACTGTTATCACAGCAAGTCACTTCACCAAGATGAAGTCTGCCAAGACACAGATTGATTCAGTTTTGGCTTTTTTTTTTAACCATTTAGCTGATTCTCTTCTTGTCTCTGATTTACTATATACATATTAGTGTTATTGTTTATTTGTTGATCACATGCAGCTTTTACTATCCTAAACATTAACCAAAAAGGCAGATCTCTTGGTAAACAGAAACTATAGCTCTTCGATCAATTAAACCTTGTGACAACGTACAGTGTACAAGGGTTACAATGTTTGAAAGTGTCTTCCTAAGGAGGGAGCCGAAGCCCTCCGCTCGATGCTGTGTGTTGAAAATATGGACAAGTTTAAGCAGGTTTAAGAGTCATGTCGAGGGGTAGTGTAGAAGGCCAGGGTTTGACTGACGGCGGTGAGTTACGCAGATTGTTGAATTTTTTTTGTGTGAAATAATCAAGAAACAATCAGTTATTATCTCAGTCAGGAATTGTTGTGGCGGATTCCAAAGATATTTTGTAATGACACTAACACTTATTTTTGCTTCCATTTTCACCGAGTCCAGAAACGGTATGATTTGTAAATCAGCCTCTGTATGAACACACTGTATAAGCTAATGAGAAAATGATGTAGGTTTTAAGTGTTAATGGACACGTCTGAATAGGTCTAGCTGAGAGATTATTTTCTTTATTTCTTTTTTTTTTAGACAAGATGGTTGTTTTGAGTGACTAACCCTGAGATTTAAGGATGAGGTTTCAGAACAGAGAAGCAAGTGATTCTTCTATAAAGCGCTCACCATGTTTACATTCTCTCTGAGCAAGAAACTGCTTCAGCCACAGCGGAGACAACACACTGACAATTCTCTCATAATCACATTATTTTAATGTTTACAGCACAACTACGTCTTTGCATTACTGCAGTAACCTTTGAATAATCAGCCTGCCGTGCATGTCCTTGGTTGAGGACTTGCAGGATGTCACACTGATTCTGTTGCCAACCAGTACTTAATTGGTAGCATTAACTTGATGGAACAATATTTTTTTTTTTTT